CCATAGTGTCGAAATACTGTAACGCAGTAAACATATCGGCGAACTTTCGAAATTGAGTTTGTAAAATGCATCCTCAAATTTCAGTGACTAATAATATACGATTTCTATTTAGTGTAAGTTTTATTACATTTTTATTACATTTATGTATAATTTAAGGGATAAATTTTGGATCGTTATGGTTTAATTACTCCTTAAATTATTTTTATATACTCATTTAATCCCAATTCCGCGAATCTGCCGATATGAACTTTTAAAGTACTTTCAACCATGAAATAAATTTACTAGTTAGATTAAATACCTTTTGGCATGGATCTCTATCATTTCCCGACAAACAAAATCCCGACTGAATTGACCGGAACTAACACCAACCTGATCTAATGCAGGCTAACTTGTCAGGATTTTGATATTGTCAGGAAAGTGATTGTTCAGAAAATGATAGGATCCCTTTAGTCATTATGTATTCGACGTTTGTAAAGCTGTACAGTACCTTCAGAAAATATATCACGGTTATACGAAAAAACAACATAAAATTAAACATGTAAATTTATTGCTTAGCAAATTAATAATAAATATCGATATACCAATTCAGCAATATATCATTACAATTGTTGAAGATAATGCATCAGTATTTGTCAGCCATAACCTGCATTAGAAATAACTTCAGCAGTATGATTTGAAAATCGATGCATCTAGCCTTACCTATTCCTCTAAAAGCGTTGTCTTCAATTTTTCATATGTTCTTGGGGGTGGTCTTCGTTGCTGTATTCTACGTATCTTTAAAATATTCCATATGTGCTTTTCGTGTAACCGTGATATACTTTCTGAAGGTACTGTACATACGCATGTTCGTAGAGCACTCTCACCATATCATATAATAGTATAATAGTACTGTATTATATTTCACATTATTATAATATTTATTACGGCATTACGGCATATAATCTTTACGGCAATCAGGTACTGTGCCGTAATTAATTCAACCAACTGGAAAAATGCCGTAATGCCATAATTCAGTAATTCTACCGCCAACTATAGTTGTCCGATGATCAATGATCGAAGATCTCGTAATGGATTGATCGGCAATCCGCGGTTTCATTCATATGATTTACAAGACCAATTAACCAATTAACAATCAGGATCGTGTGTAACATAAAATTTTCAAAACAAATAAATATTTGCTTTGCGTTTTTCGTACAGTTTTATTATAATACCACTCTTTCTAACCCTCACATATGCCCGAACCCTTATACGGATTTTGGATCAATAGACTATACTTCTACTTACAAACGAGCATAAAGCTTAAAACATTTAGCTGTTAATGGAATAAGAGCATTAAGGAAGGCACTAACCAAGCATCCTACTTTAACTTCCTTAAACCTTACAAGATCTATAGATGATATTGGACTAGCAGAAGATCTTGTTAGTTTTATGCCAGAGGTTTTTTACAAGCATATGTGATGATGATGATTTGGACAATTTTGAAATTATCAATTGCACTTAATCTCAACACCACTCTAAATTTAAAAACATTATTTATAATGAAGGGTAAAAAGCATTAGCGTTGAATAAATACTTCTTGGATTTTAGTAATTCAGTTATTAATGCTAAGAGTGAAGAAGCAAGAAGACCATGTTGACTTTTATATAATCAAAGTTTATTAAGAAAAGAAGATGTATTAGCAAAAGATCTTTGTGGAAATAATATTGGTACTTAATGAAACTCAGTTTTTTTTTTTTTTTTTTTTTTTTTTTTTTTTTTTTTTATAAAACCCCGAGATAGCATTTATCTGGGGACGTCAAATGACGCT